TACCGGCGTGAGCAATTATCCTCGCGGCTGCGAACTTAAATTCGTGGCCCGTCTCATAAGTGTGGGCAGCCACTTGCGACAATGCGCCACCGCTTCTGACAGCCAGCTTCTGTTCATGTATGCGCGAAACGAGCATGCGTCCAGTCTGTCCGGTGTACTTTCGGGGACAGTTGAGACATCGTATGCGATACACTACGCCCGACTACTCACTGGGGTTTAATCGGCCCTTTATTCTCATGGCCCGGCTGCGTATGGTAGTCTCTTGATGGTGTGCAATTCCGACGTCTAGTCCCGCAGCAATGCGCTCGGTCAGCCGGTGATCGAAACGCCTTCGTCTTCTATACTTTAAACTCTGTCCGTCTTAACTAATCATTAACCAAACTATGTTCGGTTGTTCAAATGTGTCACCTGGGTTACGCAGCATTACTCAGTCGATATCCGCATACATTGCCTTGCCAGCCAGTCACACTGTCATGTGGTCGCTACCAGCGCGAATTCGCTTACCTTTACACGTGGTGATACGTGCGCCCCCGACCGACCAACTGGCACGCCCACACCTGTAACACTTGAACGCCCGATACGAACTGTCAGTGACTCAGACCGCCACGCAACCTCGCCTAAGCAAATCGAAATCGAATGGCCAAGTAGAGTCTCGTTTTATGTTTTATTCTGAAAACAGTCCGACAGCTAGTTCATTTCTCTGCATCGTCAGTGTGAAGCGACGTCGTAGGAGGTGCAAACACGTTCGCCGAGTTTGTCTTCGGCCAGGGGAGTCTCAGTGCTTGTGTAAGTGCGTTCTGTGTGCACAAAGTTGGGTTACTTAGCCGTATGGCGACTGCCTCTGCCATCGCAAGTATCCCTTCACCCGCTTCTCCATATTGGATATTTAAACTTATGCTTCTTTACCCTCCCTTACATTATTATAAATGTCTGATTATGAATCAAACTTATGATCTGACTCCAACGCAAATTCATATTAACTGAAAAAAAAAATGCTTATTTTGTGCATATTGCCTGTAAGCTGTGGTTAAGTCTAAACAGGTATCCAAAGATGATTGGAAAGCTCCCGCTACTCAGGTTTTGGCTCTTCTCTTCCGAGCGCAGTTGGGAAGGCAATACTGCCAAAGCCAGCATCCTGGCATGCACGAAATATCGTGAGATTTTTATTGTATGTTAAACAGTCTTACCACTTCAGTCCTTCCTAACCAAAGTCATATTTCAGAATTCCAGTAGATGTTTTGATTGACTTGTTTGCTTGCTACATATCGTGTTTTTTGCATGTTGCTGGTTCATATATCCCCATCTGCTTTATAATTTATCGAATGTTTTTGTTACCTCCACAACAGGTTTACCGGCCGGTCATTCGCAGCCTTGTGCCTCCAATGTGCCTGCTGAACCTCAAAATAGCGTGCATTCGAAACACTCAGTATCCTCCTTTACACCAATGCTCTCTACATCCGACTCCTCTCAGAAGACACCATGGTTACCGCCCACTTCCGAATTTTTACCGTCCGGTTGGGACGCGTGGGAATCCGTTCTGGGGTCGCTGGTTAG